CGCCAGATTATCGCCGGGCTGATCGCCGGAGCTGTTCTGTGGAGTCGGACAAGGCCATGCCTCTTTTCAGTCCGTGGATGCTGGCCCTTCGGCATTCGATTCCATCGAGTCTGCCGGACATCCGAGGAAGACCTTCATGAGCCAAGTGGGGCCACGAGGTGAGAACCCTCTACTCCAGATTTCGTAATAAAAGGGAGGGGGTCTGGACCCTCCAAGACAAGCCGTTTCAGACCCCCCCCCGTGGGAGAACCCTCCAAAACATCGTCCCCAGACCCCCCCAGGCCCTCCAAGATAGCCTGGAAGAGACCCCCCCCCCGAAATGAGACCCCCCTCCCTTTATTACGAAATCTGGAGTACCTACATACATCAGGAACAGCGCATGCAGCATGGCCTCCCGTTCAAGCTCGTCCACCTGCGCCGTGGCAGGTCGGCAGTGCACTTGGGCGTCCTGCGTGGCCCCACTGTCGGCACTGGGAAGCCCCGAGAGCTCGGAGGTGCTTATCTCCATGCCGGCGCACAGAGAGTCCACACCAGGTGGCCTTTTAATTTGCTGACGTGGCACTTCGGGGTCCAACTTCCTTCTGCCACATACCATGCTGAAGTGTTTGCTCCTCCAGCGGGCGTAGCCCTCCTCCGTCGCCTCCTCCTCCTCCTCCTCCTCCTACCTATCCCTCTCCCTTCCACGTGCCGACCTCCCCATGGACATCTTGCTGCTGCTTCTCCTCCTCGTCCTCCTCTTCCTCCTCCTCCTTCTCCCCAGTTTTCCCATTCAGTGAACAGACGTTATCATTCCCACTCCCCCCTGCCTCGTCGTCGTCGTCGTCGTCATCATCATCATCATCATCAGCATCATCATCAGCATCATCATCATCATCATCATCATCATCATCATCATCATCATCATCATCATCATCATCATCATCATCATCATCATCATCATCATCATCATCATCATCATCATCATCATCATCATCATCATCATCATCATCATCATCATCATCATCATCATCATCATCATCATCATCATCATCATCATCATCACCACCACCATCATCATCATCATCATCATCATCATCGTCGTCATCAGCATCATCATCGTCATGATCATCATCAGCATCATCATCAGCATCAACATCCTCAGTATAGTCATCAGCAGCATCATCAGCATCATCATCATTATCACCGCCACCACCACCACCATTATCATCATCAGCAGCATCCTCATCACCGTCGTCGTCGTCGTCATCGTCATCGACATCGTCATTGTCAGCAGCATCGCCATCACCGCCATCATAATAACAATCATCATCATCACCAGAATCATCAGCATTATCAGCAGCATCATCACCACCACCGCCATCATCATCAGCAGCATCATCAGCATCGTCATCATCATGATCATCATTTCCATCGTCATCATCATCATCATCATCATCATCATCATCATCATCATAATCGTCATCAGCATCCGCAACATCATCATCACCATCATCATCATCATCAGAAGCATCATCGTCATCAGCATCATCATCACTATCATCATCGGCTCCTGCTCCTACTCCTTCTCTACTTCCACCCCCCCTCCTCGTTCCTTCTCATCCTCCTCCTCCTCCTCTTCCTCCTCCTCTGCCTCCTCCTCTTCCTCCTCTTCCTCCTCGCCATTCCTCCTCTTCCTGCTCCTCCCTTGTCCTCCCCCTGGCTTCCATCCCTCCCCCCCCTCCTCGCTCCTCGCTTCTCGCTCCTCGCTTCCTCCTCGCTCCTCGATTCTCCCTCGCTCCTCGCCCCGCCCGCCGCCGCCGCCATGGGAGAGCGCGCCCGGCCCCCTCCAGCGGCGCGCGCAGGCGACGGCCCGCCAGCCCCCGGGGGGACGCCCCTGCTACGGGAGCGCCGCGCGCCGCCGACGACGACGACAACGACAACGCCGCCGTCGCCGCCGCCGCCGCCGCCGACGACGACGCCGACGTCGACGACGCCGCCGACGACGACGTCGCCGACGACGCCGACGACGCCGACGACGCCGACGACGCCGACGACGACGACGACGGCGAGCTCGACGAGGATGACGACGGCGAGGAGCTCGACGGCGAGGTCACCGAGGACGACGGCGAGGAGCTCGACGGCGAGGTCGCCGAGGACGACAGCGAGGATGGCGAGGACGACGACGACGACGACGACGACGACGACGACGACGACGACGACGACGACGACGACGACGACGACGACAACAACAACGACGACGGGGGCGAGAGCGACGACGACGACGAGGACAAGGTCCAGGACGAGAAGGATGAGGTCAACGGCGACGGCAGGCGAGGACAACGACGAAGGCGGCAACGACGAGGATGACGGCGAGGACGATGAGAATGGTGGCGCCTGGCGCTTCCATGCTGTTTTTGAATGTTTCATTGTATGCTGCTCGGGGTATACGTGCGTTTCTGATTTCCAGGCTCTGTCATGGAGGCTTCTGACAAGTCCAGAGGAAGAGGAGGAGGAGGAGGAGGAGGAGGAGCAGGAGGAGGAGGAGGAGGAGGAGGGAGAGGAAGAGGAGGAGGAGGAGGAGGAGGAGCAGGAGGAGAATGAGGTGGGTTTGGATGATGATGATGATGAGATGATGATGATGATGATGATGATGATGATGATGAGGAGGAGGAGGAGGAGGAGGAGGAGGAGGAAGGAGGAGGAGGAGGAGGAGAAGGTGGAGTTTGTCCGCCCCGGCCGGAGCCCGCAACCAGCAGCAGTGTGCTGGCCTATCCGCGATTTAGGCCCATCCCCCTTGAGGCTCGCTCCTCTGCTTCCTCCTCCTCCTCCTCCTCCTCCTCCTCCTCCTCCTCTTCCTTTTCCTCCTCCTCGCTTCCTCCTCCTCCTCCTCCTTCTCCTCCTCCTCCTCCTCCTCCTCCTCCTCCTCCTCCTCCTCCTCCTCTCTGCTCGCAACGTCGTCGCCTGGCGGCCACCAGCGGCCATCAGAGGCTTGTTTTCCCTCGGGTCTGGGTCAGGGGCTGTGGCCCGCAGGCCGGAGGGGATTCAAGATCGGGGCGCGGGCCGGTTCCTGTAGCGCCTTGCGTCTCCTGGAGCGCCCTTGGGAGCTCGTTGCCTCACAAAAGAAGGTGGAGGCGAAGGATGAGGAGGAGCAGGAGGAGGAGGAGGAGCAGGAGGAGGAGGAGGAGGAGCAGGAGGAGGAGGAGGGGAGGAGGAGGAGGAGGATTTCGGCAGTTTCTGCACGTTCAACCGGTTGTTGGATATCCTCGAGACCTTTCAGCGGTGCATGCGTGTTTCCGCATGGTTTCGGCCATTTTCGATAGGTCGGCAACTTACTTTTAGGCTATGGAGGCTCCTTCTGGAGGAGGTGGGTGGTGAGCAGGAGGCAGCGGGACGGCTGCGTCCAGGACGAACGCCGGATCCCACAGCGACAGCGACAGGAGGCAGCGACCCTACTCCTGCATCTCCCGCGTCATCTACGGTCGGGAACTTTAGCTTCGCGTGTCGCGCCGCCGTTTCTGGCCTGCGGCGTTTGGCCGGCGCGCCGCGCGGACCACTTCCCAGCCTCCCGAGCGTCAGCGCCCCGAGCTCTGCCAGGGCCTCCGGCCTCGCGAGGCGGAGCGACACGCCGTCCGCCTGCAGGGCATGGGGTGTGGCTGGGGCCGCCGCCCGCGGCACGCTGTGCAGAAGATCCCGAGCGTAGCTCCGTCTGTCGTTCGCCTGTTCCCTTCTTTTCTCCCTCAACTGCTCGGTTTCCTCCATAGCTCTCCCCCCGACGTCGGCTGGGGCGGAGGGATGCGAGGGCCTCCGCTGCTGCCGCAGAGCGGTCCGCAGCTCGAGCCCGAGGAGGAGGAAGAGGTGGAGGAGGAGCAGGTGGAGGAGGAGTGACAGAGAAGGAGATGAGGAGCAGGTGGAGGAGGAGGAGGACGAAGAGGACGAGGAGGAGGATGAGGAGGAGGAGGAGCATGTGGAGGAGGAGGACGAGGAGGAAGCGGAGGAGGGGGAGCAAGAGAAGGAGTGCAGAGGAGGGGGAGGAGGTGGTGGAGGAGGAGGAGGCGGCGGCGGAGGAGGAGGAGAGGAGGAGCAGAGTGAGAAGGAGAGGAGCTCCGCAGCACGGCCTCGAGGAAGATGGCGGAGGTAAGACGAGGGCGACTCCACAAGGCAGGCTGCTTGAGGGGAAGCCCATTGGACGTGTCGGTTGCGCGCAGGAGTGGCCCTTCGGAGGAGGGAACTCCTGGTGCGCGGCGCTCAAGGGGCGCGGGTTACCAAACCGGGACTTCCTACGTAAAAATCAGCCTGGCGAAGGACCCAACCATATGCAGCGGTGGGCACCGTCTTTGTATGCACCGCATTCGGTGGAGCTCCCTATGGGGCCACGAAGCGTGTGAGGGGTATACCAGGATGGGTGCGGCGGCCGCATGCGAGGGCTGGCATCTGGGCCTTCGGTGGGGCTCCCTATGGGGCCGCGAAACGTGTGAGGCGTGTGCCAGAAGGGGCGCGGTGGCCGCATGCAAGCGCTGGCATCTGGGCCTTCGTTGGAGCTCCCGATGGGGCCACAGAACGTGTGAGGCATGTGCCGAAGTGAGGGGGGGTGACGGGAGGAGGGAGGAGGTGGGAGGAGGGGGAGGAGGAGGGGGAGGAGGAGAGGAGGGAGAGGAGGGGCGCCGGGCGCTGTCTCTTCAGAATGAGGACCCAGCACCACAGGATGGTTGGGAAGCATGCTGCCGAGGATCTTTCGTCGGCGTCAGGGGGCCCTCGCCGGGCCTTGGGGACCGTGATAAAAGGATCGGGGACGAAAAGCCGGTCTGCAGGGATGTGGTCCAGTGCTCCGGGGACCCCGCATCGAACAAAAACAGAGCGTCGGAGGTCTGAGAAGCTACATGAGTACGCGTCGCGTGCAGCCATGGCCAGGGCCGCGCACCAACAAAAGTCTCTCTCGCCTGAGGTTCGCTCGTGTTGCGCGTGACGGGCGTCACAGTGGACCACCCAGTGGGAGGAGGCCAATGCTGGCCCGTGGCCATTTGAGCTCAGTTTGGTCTGTTTCGGCCAGAGTGGGCACGTGTCGACCCAAGGTCGCATGTAGACGAATACCGTAGCTGAACGTAGATTGATGCACTCGCCGAGTTCTCAATCCTTTTCGGAAGCATGAACATGGCAGCCCATTGCGCGGCGCTTTTCATACTTCTGCTGCGCCTGAGTTGCGGTTGGAAAATGCGGGGTGGTAATCTGACAGCATCCCCAATGCGTGCGAACGCCACTGGACAAGAAATGGCTTCTGTTGTGAACAGTTCTTCCGGAACTGGCTTCTCTTTCCGAGAGTGGTATGATGGCCACACAACTGGACGCGGTATTTGGAAATGGGAGAACTCATTGGATGCATATCAGCGCCATTTTGGATTGCTGGCAGGATACTCGTTGGCTATCGCCGAAGTTGGTGTTCAGTCTGGTGGTTCCCTGCTGATGTGGCAAGGCGTACTTGGTACTTCTGTGTGGCTGTATGGCTTGGACATCAATCCCAAGTGCAAGGCATTTGAAGGCCATCAGGTAAGTGTCATCCTTGGAGATCAAGCTGACCCGACCATGTGGGAGAAATTCTTTCACAGCACCGTGTCCGTGTTGGATATTCTCGTTGACGATGGGGGCCATCAGCCGCAACAAATGTTCCAGACGCTTATCAGTCCATGGCCCCACCTTCAGCCAGGCGGCCAAATTGCCATCGAAGACATACATGGTGAACACTATTTGGATTCCTTCTTCTATCCGGTCGCCTGGCACATTGGGACGCAGTGGTCGGGCACGGTCGATTCTGTCCATGTGTACCCTTTCCTGCTGATCGTGAAGAAGGTTGGCCAGAGAGAGGGCCTGCCGGCAAACCAGCTAGACTTCTCGCACCTGAGCGTGGTGCGGGTGGCCGACCTGCCCGCGCTCGGGGCCGCGATCCAGCAGCACCCCGGGAGCCAGATCGTCCTCCAGAACCCCAGCTGGGGGCCGTTCTTGACGTCGGACGGCCTCACGAACTTCTTCTCCTACTTCATCGGCCTGCACGGCGGCGCCTTCGCCGACTCCCCGGCGGGCTGCAGGACCACGTCGGCCGCCGTCTGCACCAACGCCATCTCCCCGATGACCGTCACGCAGCAGCTGGTCACCGGGATCCACGTCTACAGCGACCGCCTGGTGGTCGAGACCACCGCCGCAACGCCCGTGATCCATGCCGTCCGGAAGGGGACCGAGTGGAACGACTACGCGGGTCTCTGAGGCCCCGCAGCACGCACCGGGAACGGGCCGGATGGGAGATACACATGATTATTCGAAGAAGAACATGCGCCGTCAGCATGATTTGTTGGCGCTCCGCGCGGATTTCTTGGATCCGCGCTGCGCCACCTGGCGGCGCCTCCAGCGCCGCCCCTGGCGCGCTCCGCGCGCCAGGGAGGGGGGCCCCAGGGCAGACCCAAGCAATCCGCGAGGAGTGCCGAAATCTTCGGTTGATGCAGTGGTTTCTTCTGCTATATCTGCTTGCGAGCAGAGAGACAGACAGGGAGGGACAAGAACGGGAGAGAGAGAGAGAGAGGGGGGTCGGTTGCGGCGTCCTCAGAACTTCTGGAGCTGGCGATCCTGATCTGCCCCAGGGGCTCGCGTTTCATGGACCTCCTCAGTCTCCGCCCTCCGTTGCTCTGGAGTTGTTCGATCCAGTTTGGAGTCGTCGCATGCTTTATTCGCTTTTCGTTTTGTGCAGGAGGTGCTCTCTTCGGTGTGGGAAGTTGCATCGCCCACCCGTGGAACGTTTCTACAAGCGTCACAGAACATGCCTCGGAGGCTGCCCCCCTCTCCCAGACCCTCTGCCGCCGCGCTTGTTTGTCGCAGCGTGGACCCCAGAAGGCTCAGGAGGGAAAGAAGCACACGGACGCAATCCATCGGCGAGTCCCCCGAAGAGCTGGGAAAACATGGGAAGTGTGGGGGGGGGAGACAAAAAGCCCAGAAGATCTGGGAAACTGTGGGGGGTCTTTTTTATCTGTGTGTTTTTATTTGTGTGTCCCAGGGCCCCTTCACATCTTGCTGCGCCATTTCTCGAGCCGGATCGATCTGCGATGGCCCCGGAGTCCGAAGCTGGGCGACGACGCCCGGCGCGGGAACATGGGCACCAGGATCTCAGGGTCGGCCCCCCCAGGAGGAGGAGGAGGAGGAGGAGGAGGAGGAGGAGGAGGAGGAGGCGGAGGAGGAGGAGGAGGAGGAGGCGGAGGAGGAGGAGGAGGGAGGAGGAGGAGGAGGGAGGAGGAGGAGGAGGAGGAGGGAGGAGGAAAGGAGGAGGAGGAGGAGGAGGAGGAGGAGGAGGAGAAGGCCTCGCCCCCTCCCGGTGCCGGCTCCTCTTCTCGTCCCCGCGCTCGCCTTCCAGTGCCCAGGCCTGCTTCAGGAGGGGGAAAAAAAAAACAGACACACACACACAAAGACACAATGAACCGTCCATTCCCCAGAAAAAAAGGGAACATGTGGGAACAGTGGGGGGGAAGACAACAACACAGAAGGTATGGGAAAGTATATGGGGGGGATCCGTTTATCTGTGTGTCTCTACGTGTGTGTCCCAGGGCCCCTTCGCTGATGTCCAGGCCTCCCAGAGGGGGTCAGAGCCCACGGCGTCGGAAGATCGCGCCGCAGGGCCGATCCATCGACGGTGCGGCTCGGTGTGGAGCCCGACGCTTCGGACGCCGACGGCGCCGCTGCACCGCCGACGGCCCTGGTGCATGGGCCAGGCCTGGGTCCCTCCCCGGGCACCCCCCCGCTCTTATGGGCAAGCTCTTGGGCCAAGAGGCCCGAAGCGCCGGGCAGCCCGGGCTTGTGTCGGGCGCGTCCCCCTACAAAGGGATCTTCGACGAAAAATACAACATACCCCCAAAGATATTTAAAAAGGTAAGCAAAAAGATCCAAAAAATAGTCCCCAGACTATGTTTGGAATATTTTTTGATTATTTGTGGGGTCTTTCTTTTTTTTCGTCGAAAATCTCCCTGTACGGGGACAGGCCCGACTTAAGCCTGGGCACGACGGGCCCAGGAAACCAGGCCAGTCTGGCGGCACACACGCGCGAGGCACACACGTCTGGCGGCGAATGGCTTGCACGGATACGGGGGGGGGGTTGGTGGAGGAGTGCGCCCAAGAGGTTCAGGTATGGCGGAGGTTCCAGGCCCCACTGGCGAGATTGCCCAAAGTGGGGCGGATCCGGGGTCAGGGTGCGGACCCTGGAGGATTCCTGATCTGATGAGGGGCGCAGTGGTGTCCATGGCCAAGCCTCGGTTGGAGTTCCACCGGCCTCCCGACCCTGGATTCCTTATCCAAGGGTTCCTCATCCAATGCCCCCACCGTGCCATCCCTCCCGGGGGCCCCTTCCGGGGGCCGGCGCCTCCTCCCGCGGGGGGTCGTTGTCTCACGCCCCCCCCCCTCGAGGCCGAGGGAAGCCCAACTCCCCGAAGGTGTTGTTCGGACGGAGGTCTGGCCCCCTTGGGGGCCCGTGCCTCCCCCCGCGGGGGGTCGTTGTCTCACGCCGCCCCCCCCCTCGAGGCCGGAGGAAGCCCAACTCCCCGAAGGTGTTGTTCGGACGGAGGTCTGGGCCCCTTCCTGGGGACCGGCGCCTCTCCTCCCACGGGGGGGTCGTCTTCTCGCGCCCCCCGCCCCCCTTCGAGGCCGAAGGAGGCCGAACTTCCCCAGGGTGTTGCTCGACGCGAGCCCAGACGTCCGACGAGGCGTTTTGTCAGCGCGCGGCCCCAGGAGGATTCGGCCTCCTCCTCCTCCTCCTCCTCCTCCTCCTCCTTCTCCTCCTCCTTCTCCTCCTCCTCTTCCTCCCTCCTCCTCCTCCTCCTCCTCCTCCTCCTCCTCCTCCTCCTCCTCCTCCTTCTCCTTCCCAGGGGGGGCTCGTCGTCCCGAGACTACTTTTGTGGGCCGAGGGCCCCAGGCGGCCCGAGGACGGCCACCCCGAGGCGAAAGGTCCAAGAGAGGCCGCGCATTTGATGGCGCGGCGAGGGAGGGGGGGAAGTGAGAAGCCCAGACCCCCTCGAGCAATGAAAAAATCGGGGGTGAACAGAAGCCCCAACAGTGACACGTCGATTAGTGAATTGTCCGTTTTCGGTTCCCGAGAGGGCGCCGTGGCCGTTATTTGCCAGGCTCGCGCCCGCCAGGTTTGGGCCTCAGGTCGTTTTCACTAAACCACGTTTTACTAAAGGGGGGTCTGTCCATCCCCGAAAAAATCATGACGGGAGGTTTTTCGCAATTTTCGGCCTCTGGGGGCCCTCGCCGGGCCTCGGGAGCGTCCGAAAACGACTCGGGATGACAAACCGGTCCTGGGGAAGGGGTCGAGAACTCTGGGGTCGACGTACTGAGAAATTCATGACGTCGGGGGTCTGGGAGGAGAGGGCCTCCTCGGAAGGCGGCGCGGGACTTCTCAGAAGCCCTCGCGCCTTCTGAGGGGTTGTTACTGTGTGTCCGGGGAACCCTGACTCCAGATCCGCCCTACTTTGGCTTTTTCTTCCACCTTGAAATTGCGCCGGAAATCCACCTACAAGAAGCCGAAAAAGTAGGGCGGAAATTTCTGCACCCAACATAAAATAGGGCGGAGGTCCACAGAAGGAGGGCGGAAGCAGCAACAGAAAAGTAGGGCGGAAATTGGCATCAGCGGGGCTTGAAAAGTAAGGCGGAAATAGCCCTACTTACGAATTTCCCCAAGAAGTAGGGCGGATCTGGAGTCAGGGAAGGCTCAGAAAACTGTTCAGAAGGCTGGGGGACTTCCGGGCCTTCTGAGAAGACCCTCTCCTTCTCAGTTCCCCCCCTCGCTCGCCGCAGATGTATGGCTGGAGATCTGGGAGGAGCTCTGAGGAGGGCCTGGTGAGATCCGGGAGGAGGTCTGGGAGGAGGTCCCCTGAGACCCTAGCTGGCGTCGCACTCTTTTCACACCGTGCGTGTTCGCTCCGTTTCGGGCCCCGGAGCCCTCACAGATCGGTCCGGCTCGAAGCATGACGCAGAAAGATGGGGTCCGGGGCTCTGGTCGTGATTTTCTGCATTGCTGCAATTTGTTCGCAGCGTCGGATCCCAGGGTCTGGAAGGAGGTCTGGGGAGGTTTGGGAGGAGATCTGGGAGGAGATCCATGGAGAGGCCCTCGGCCACGCGCAAAGGAGGGTAGGGGGGGGGGTGGAAGGCCTCTTGGAGGCACCCCTGCTTCTTTGAAGGCGCGGGCCCTGTTTGAAGATTTGAAGATGAGGGTCTACGCAGCAGCCTCCTCTTCAGAAGCCATCCCCCCTCGTCCGTGGCCATTCTGGCCCGAGTGGCCGCGGCTCGGGACACCGGGTGCAGGCGCGCTGAGAGAACTTGTCGGGGCCAGCCCCGCCGCGATGGCGCACAAGTCCAACCCGTACAAGAAGGCGCGCTCGATGTTCCGGTGGAAGTGGAAGAAGAAGCGCACGCGCCGGCTGCAGAAGAAGCGCCGCAAGATGCGGCAGCGCTCGAAGTGAGCAGGGCCCTATAGCCTATATCGTAGCGGCCGTGCGGGCAGGACCGCTCTGCTCCTCGAGGCGCCGCAGAAGCGATGGGGGGGAGTGCCGGGATCGGCTCGGCTCCGCGCTGGCCTTTCACAGCCGCTGCCTCCTTGCGTCCGCTCTCAAGCTCCGGAGGAAAAAGAAGACTTCCCCCCTCGCCTCCCCCCTGCTCGGGCCGAACGAAAGGGGGGGACAGGGAAAGAGGGGGGGTTACGAAATCTGCTGCATGCAGCTGGTTTCGGCCCCGCCGCCGGGCCCATTCCGGGCGCCTCCCGGCGCCGGGAGGCGCTGGGAGGAACAGCTACGTGAGCTGATTCTCAACCCCCCCCCCCTTTGCTACCCAGACATCCAACGCAGACATCCGACGTCTCGATTTTCTCGAGACGCGGGCCCCCGACCTCCCGACCACTTCCCTGGGGCCGGTTCTTCATCCCGGGTCGTTTTTGTGACGGCCCCGAGGCCCGGCGGGGGCCCCGAGAGGCCAAAAGCTACGACAAACCTCTGCCTCGATGTTTTCGAGACGCCCGACGTCTGGGTATCCCCCCCCCTTCGCCTACCCCCTGCCCCCCCCCCCCCCCGTGCGCGCCGCCGTCGAGGAGACCCATGGGGCGGCCGAGCCCGGCCAGAGGCCCCCCCCGTCGTGAGCGCCGCCCCCCACGCGGGCGGCGCTCTCTGGGGGCCCGCGGCCTGTTCCGCGGGACCGGCCTGTCCCCTCCCCGACTCCGGATCTCACCAGGCCTCCTCAGAGCTCCTCCCAGATCTCCAGCCCTACATCTGCGGCGAGCGAGGGGGGGAGCTGAGAAGGAGAGGGTCTTCTCAGAAGGCCCGGAAGTCCCCCGGCCTTCTGAACAGTTTTCTGAGCCTTCCTTGACTCCAGATCCGCCCTACTTCTTGGGGAAATTATTTGTAAGTAGGGCGTGGAATTTCCGCCGTCCTCTTCGAGCCCCACTGATGCCAATGTCCGCCCTGCGTTGCTGTCGCTGCTCCCGCCCTGCTTCTGTGGATCTCCGCCCTGTTTTATGTTGGGTGCAGAAATTTCCGCCCTACTGTTTCGGCTTCTTGTAGGTGGAAAGAAAACAAAGTAGGGCGGATCTGGAGTCAGGGTGCACCCCCCCCCCCAGAGGTCCAACGCATTGAACAAAATCAAGACCCAGACCCCCGACGAAATGAATTTTTCATTACGTCGACCCCAGAGTTCTCGACCCCTTCCCCAGGACCGGTTTGTCATCCTGAGTCTTTTTTTGACGCTCCCGAGGCCCGGTGAGGGCCCCCCGAGGCCGAAAATGGCGAAAAACCTCCCGTCATGATTTTTTCATTACTCGAGGGGGTCTGGGGACGGAGGTTTGTCGCACATTTCGGCCCCTGGGGGCCCTCGGCGGGCCTCTCGGGGCCGTCGACAGAACGACGCAGGAGGAAACACCCGTCCTGCAGGGGAACCCAGACATCGGGCGTCTCGAAAAAATCGAGACATAGAGGTTTTCCATACTTTTGGGCCTCTCGGGGCCCTCGCCGGGCCTCGGGAGCGTCAAAAAACGACTCGGGACGAAAAACCGGTCCCAGGGAAGTGGTCGGGAGGTCGGGGGCCCGCGTCTCGAAAAAATCGAGACGTCGGATGTCTGGGAATGGGTCGACCCCGTATGGAAAAAACTGGCGACGTCGGATCTCTGGGCCCCCAGAGCTGCCTTATTGGCACGGCCCGGGGCCGAAAGCGGCCCCAGACGACGCGAGCATGCCTGGGCTCCTCCTCCTCCTCCTCCTCCTCCTCCCACCTCCTCCTCCTCCCTCCCACCTCCTCCTCCTCCCACCTCCTCCTCCTCCTCCTCCTCCTCCTCCTCCTCGTCGAGGCCGTCGCGGCCCAGACATCCGGCTGCTCCAGTGTTGTCGATGCGCGAGCCCCCACCAGAGAGGTCTGGACCACTTCCCTGGGGGCCTCGGCCAGCAGACCGAGAGAGACCGAACATTGAGACATCGTAATGAGTCACGATGGGAGCCCTCGACCCTATTTTCAGGAGGGAAAGAAACACACAGACGCAATTAATCGCCAACTCCCCAGAAAATATGGGAAAATATGGGAATTCGGGGGGAAGACAGAAACCCAGAACATATGGGAAAGTATCCGAATATTTTTATCTGTGTGTTTTTATGTGTGTGTCCCAGGGCCCCTTCACATCTTGCTGCGCCATCTCTCGAGCCGGATAGATCTGCGATGGCCCCGGAGTCCGAAGCTGGGCGACGACGCCCGGCGCGGGAACATGGGCACCAGGATCTCAGGGTCGGCCCCCCCAGGAGGAGGAGGAGGAGGAGGAGGAGGAGGAGGAGGAGGAGGAGGAGGAGGAGGAGGAGGAG